ACATTTGAAAACAAATATTGATCGCATCCATGCATTGAATATAAAGTCTATGTACGCGAAAAAAATCTAACTTTTTATGTCTCCACCTTTGTATTACACTTTGAATAATTTCTATAACATGCAATAAGCCAATCACGCTTTGCCGTTTACGAGTGTTTTGTTTTTCAGTCACAGCAGTTAATTAAAATGCAACCGCATGTCGTTATTTTTGCTGGCCAAACCGCATTGGCTGGCAAAAGCAATTTACATGAAACATCGAACATAAATAGAATTACATTTTGTTTCTATTGGACTTTCATTTGCATTCACCTACGTACTTCTTAATATTTTTTCGATTCGATTCCCACACGGGACTACTATTTGTGTGACTCACAGATAGTTTTTTCGCATTTGGATGTTTGTCCGCGTGAAATTTATGTTTGTAAAACGTCCTTACAACACTGGATAATATTATCCTAAAGTAAGGGCAATTTTCTTAAATTATAAAAAAATCCTAGTGACTCCGAATTCGCATTTATAACTCCAGTCATCAGCCATCTTCCACGCTTGGGAAAGGTTCTGTCTACCACAGGGCCCTTTAAATTATTGACTAAAGCGTGTGGACTCGAATTGCGATAGACGTTCGATTCCCACGGCAGTGAAATATTTTTCGTACTTTTTCTACAAATCTTATTATAAGGGCAGATATTAGAATTATAACAATAACATAAAATGTACTGTCGCCCTGAACTTAACGATGACAAAAAAGGGATTAGCACAAAATTTAATCAGCGGCTTTGCCATATACCTACTATTAAAGTGTTTATTTGTAAGGGCAATAAAATAAAAAGGGAAACATTTTAATTTTATTTATTAAATAATACAAAGAAAACGAGGAAGGTTCCATAGGACTTTACAATTTTCTCAAAATTCGACCCAGACAAATCTATGCAAGGTCATTATCATTAACTTTTATTTACGTGTATTATTGGGAACACGAATAACTACACAAATCTACGAATATTATTACTGTTACTTATTGCTTAACATTGTTTGTTCACTATAATTCATGATAGTGAACGACGTAATACGCAGTACGATTTACTTTAAACAAATTGTAAATTCAAATAGTTTACTTATTCTATAATTGCTTGGATTGAACGTTTGATCACGAAATGTCGTCAAGTTACAATTTTAAATAAGTTTTTAACAATTTAAATGCATCAGTATATAAAAAAAGTAAAGTAAACGCTCATAAATGCCCCACTGCTGGGCAGAGGCCTCCTCTGTACAGAGGATGTTAGGGCATAGTCCACCACGCGGTCCCACTGCGGATTGGTGATCTTCACATATATTGGAAAAAGTTGTTTTTTTGGGTTATTATTTCGAAAATATGCAGGTTTTCTCACAATACATGTTTTCCTTCACCGCTGAGCACGTGATAAATCAGCACCTAAAATTAAAGATTTCATTGGTGCCGGCACCGGGGATCGAACTCAGGTCGCTCGATTATATTAAATTAAAGGCGAGCGCCCGGACACTGAGCTATCACGACCAGACATTAAATTAAATTCAAATAAATCAGTATGTAACTCCATTCAATGTAAATATTATTTTCAATAAAAAAATTACGTCATAACAATGAAATAAGCATCAGAAGCAGCGTAGTTGTATCGTAAAAAATACATTTATAGAATACCATAAACAAACTGCCCCGTAGAGTTTGCATTTCTTACTTTTATATAATTTTTCATATACCCACATACGGGTGCTTTGTACGCCCACCCTTATAGTTTCCATTGACATTCATACATGCCTGGGGTATATTATTGACATACCCGCCATTTTCGCAACATGAATCCGCTTTGACAATCGTGCCTGGACACTTGTAAAATGATTGAACATTCCAAAGTATCCAATTTATCAATTTAAGTTTTCATTGCATTTTTTTTACAGCACGGTATTGGAAATCACTTCTTGTACTTTTCCTTTAGATTTTTTTTTAATTAACCTTGCTTTTTACTGCCTTTTTTCATTTAATTCAAAAAGTTGCTTGTATCTTGTATTAACTGATGTTTTTGCTTTCAGTCCCGAGACTATTAAAGCTTCATGTGACGTAGAACCGGTGGGCTAGCCAGAACCCAAGGGTTTGGGCCCTCCGCTGTGGGTAGAGCCGCGCATGTGCTCATGCGTGCGTTTAACTATGACATGTCATCTAAGGGCCATCGAAGTTGCGGTGCGGACCGAGACCCCGATGGCCGTCGACTGTGTTTTTAGCTAATCGTTCAAAAAGTTAGATTGTTTCTCTCGCACTGTTTTTTTCTAAATTAATTGTATCCTCCTTTATTTTACAAGTTTAAACGATTTAATATATATTTAGATCTTAAATCTGAAAAATAAAGTCTTAGAAAAAATAACCGAAGATACTGATGTACACAAACTCTGACCAAGGATATAATCCTAAAGCAACATCGAAAACGATGACGGGTGATAAAACTGTGAGACGATGTTTATTTTTAAGATATATCTATTTATTGCTGTTCAAGTTTGGTGACACTTAGATTGTAAAACAGTCATACTAATTAATTTTATAGGAAAATATGTTTCAAAATATTATTATTATAGTAAATTTGACATACGATATAATTTGTTATTCAAAACAATTTAATAGAGATTTGGTTGTATCTGAATAATTCATAAGATAATCCACGATCAAGTTTAAATTTTACAATAATATTAATAATTTTCCTACACACCTACACATAACTCTATAGAAGAAAATTCATAAGACATTCAATATGATTGTACGATTTTTTATAATTTAATATAAACGAAAATTAATAATGCTCAAAATCATATTAATTTTGCGCTTTAAAATTTAAAACCATATCTCACATCTGAAGAAGTAACACGGCCTATTCCTTTATACCCGTAGCTTCGCAATTATTAATTAATAATAAATAATGTCCATGGGCAACTGTAAGGGCATCAAGGGAAAAACTGTTCGCTAACCACCTATTCACATTAGAATAGTGCAACAGAAATTTATTTGTTGTTGCACGCATTGTCGATGATTTAAAAGTTAATGAAAATACAGATGAAGTATTAAACAGCCCCTGCAAAGCGACGAACCTTTTATCATTAAGATCATACAGATAGCTATATCCAAAAAGGTATAGAGTACAATAGCAAAATGCATAAAAACAAATCGCTTATGCTAAATCTGTAAAATACAAACCAGCTTGTGATAAATAATCATATTCGTCTTTCTATCCCAACAGGAGAGCGGAGTGTTAATCTGGTAGAAATCTATTCTTCAATAAAATTGTCGCAAATTGCATGAAATTTTTAAACCAGTACCGCCGATTGTTTCTTTTAACAGCCTTTGGGGAAAACAATTGAACCCATTTTCTAAAAAACGGTGCACGGTGTGTTTCGTTTGTGCAAAATGCTAATACGGAAACAGAACTTATAAATAATACAAGGCTTTAGCACCGTTGATTTAAAAGCATCATAAGTGGTTTACTAATTTTCGGTGTGGTTGTACTACCACGGTGGGGCTGCGTGGCCCTACCACTTAACGGTGGTAGGGCCACGCAGCAGCCTCGGCTGTTGCACGAATGGGCGGGCCCGTCCGGGTAAGTACCACGACCTCACAGAAGACCAGCGTAAAGTGGAAGTATGACAAATACTTTCGCGTTTCGTCTGGTGAGTGAGGTAGCCGGAGCCCAATTTTCAAAAGGTTGTCAACGCATCTGTAACCCTCGGGTGTGACAGATGTCCATGGGCGGCGGTATTCACTTAACATCAGGTGAACCGTCTGCTCGTTTGACAACTTTTCGCATAAAAAAAAACCACAAGTGATGCCGAGACAGAGAAGATCGATTAAATCAGTTAAAAGGAAAAGTTCGCGGATCTTGGGCCAATTTGTGCGTAATATCATAGTCCAACTTTTAGATATTAGGACGCTCTCCATGTCATTACTGACTGTTGGTCAAAAGATGTCCTGTTTTCCATTTCATAAGTATCTCCAATGATGAGATCATGCCAAATTCATATATCATGAAAGAATTCTAAAAGCTAGAGAAACGTTGTATTAAGTGTATTGAGCTACGTTGAAAAATAAACAATATTTTCTTAATAAAATTTTTTCCTTGTTTAATTTTTACCAGATTTATCACTCCGCCTTCGTATACATATTAAGATTAAGATTTTTTTGATGAAATTACAGTTAATTTTATAAATATTTGAATATCTTGAACCATTGCTAGTTTAAGTACAAAACTTTCACATTTCCGTCTTAATTTGATTAAAGGTCAAGGACTACTTCAATACCCAGTAAAGTGGCAGTGAAACTAATAAGGATCTCTACAAAGTTTACATTGTGCATTGAACAATTAACAATAGTGTTATTATTGACATAAAATCTTATACCTAGAGGTAAGTTATAAGCGTATTGAAAAATTCAGTAGTATTAAATCTCCAGTAGCAATGGGGGTTGCTACAATAAAAAATATAAAATCCAAAAATATTGGGCAATCTTCAATCGTACACCTTAAAACTGGGAACATGTCTAAGACCGCACCTGTAAAAAGATATTATTTGAGGAAACATCAACTTTATTCTATTTAAAAAAAATAAGTTTATCAACCAGTATTAAATTAATGTGAGAAAATTAATTTGCTAATACTATGCTATAACAGCATCTGCAATGCAAATTAATAAAAAGTAAGAAAATATAAGCTACTCAAAAAATTAAACGCTATATATTGTAAGTCTTAATGGTGGACTTAAGTCTGAATGGATTTCAATATACTTATCTTTTAAAAAATGTAGTCTAGTCTTTCTTTCGTTATCGTAAAAGTTGGGAGCATCCATCATCATCATCAACACTAGCGTGTGGCAGTCCACCGTTTGGTTCCCAAAAAATCCAAAAACGGTAACAAATAATGGTGAGCGCTACAAATATTGACCTTTGGTGCTTATACTCACCCGTGACATCAACCTTTTGTGTTCTGTTAGAATTGGCTTTGAGTCGATGTTCCGTCGAATGACTCCTCATTAATAAGCCGCAATTTCACTGACTCCCTTCGCAAGTTGTAGCTAGTTGAGATGTGGCAATGTTTCACATCTACTGTAAGAAGGTCTTCGTTCAACTCAACGCCGCTTTTTTCTACGTCCGCCGCAGCACTGGGTTTCCTTTTGTGTCTAAACGATGCAGTTCTATTTGAGCTTGATAAATAGCTGTCCGTTGTAGTATTCCCGTTGAGCGTTTTCTCTGAAGGGCCTACCCCTAGCTGCTCCATCTGAATGTTTGCCCTACTTTGCGCAGAAGTTTCAATGCAAGGTATCAATTGCTTAAATTCTTTACGAAAGTTTTCGTTCATCCACGCATAAATGAACGGATTGTAGCAGGTCGACGACATAGCGATGACGTGACCGATGAAGAATATTAGGAAGTAGTATTTAAGATGGATCGCGTAAATATAATAATCGTTGCAAAGGTTAATCACGTTTAAAGGAAGCCAAGATAGTCCGAAAATAGTTACCATCGCTATTAGCATCTGATTAGTTCTGCGCTTTCTGTTCTTGTCGAACTCCTCCTTCTTAGTATTCTTACTAACTGCCTTAGCCTTTGCTCTGTCATTCAACTTGAAACTGACGCAAGTATAACAAAATGCGATCACAATGAACGGGAGCACAAATTGCAGCACCGATGTAACGGAACCGAAGACTCTCCGCAGCTTCTCTGTCGGCCATGTTTCCTCACAGAATCTTCCAATGTCCAAGTCATAATAAGTCATGTATATTGCGTAAGGCATTGTCACGGTGATTGCAAACGTCCATATCATTATAATAACTGTGATGCACGTTTCTACTTTCATTCTCGGTCTGAAAGGGTATATTATCACGAAAAACCTATCGATAGCTATAGACATCAGAGTCAAAGTGGATATGTATACGCTGCACCCTTGTGCGAAAGGCATCACGTGACATAAGACGGAACCCCAATTCCAGGAGCCGCGGAACGAATAGAGCGGCGTGAATGGAACCGCAAATATGCAAAGCAAAATGTCAGACAGCGCCAAATTGGTTATAAACAAATTCGTGACGGTCTGCATCGCTTTGTTCCTGATGACGACGAAGCAAACTAGTAAGTTGCCCAAAAGGCCGAGTACGAAAATTATTGTGTAAATAACACAGAAAACGCCCTGTATCCATTTGTTGTCGATGATGTTCTCGTAGCCATTAGCGTCCAAGGTCATTGTAATATTATGGCTTGAGTGGTTTAAGTGATCTGTGCCGTTTCCAAACGGCGGGAGACTTAAAATTGTGACGTTCATTGTTCCCGACGGCGCCTTGCGTTCCAGTTGTAACGGTGAAACAATAACTCCTATGACTGTCAGTTTTACGAGCGCCGACGGTGAGATTTAATGTTGGACCTGTAACAAAATATAAATTGCGTTTTAACGGCACCGTTACGCAAGTTCACAGTAAAAACGTAATTATTATGAGCGAAGCGGGATCACTCTTGTTTACGGTCAATTATTTTTAACAATATTAAAGTAAAATCTAAGTGACTTCGAATTTTATAAAATATAGTTAAAGTTTTAAATATTTCAAATTTACATGGTGATGAATACTTTTTGATGGTGATGAATATTGTAATTAATGTTTTTATTGTGATATTTTAACGAAGTACGGAAAGAAAATAATCGTTTAGTAGGATATTTTCAAACCGTCAATCTTTTCACGATTCCACGACGCAGTGTCCGAGCTGTTATTGACTTCGGTTCCGGGGGTCGTGAGTTCGATTCCCACACGGAACAACCATTTGTATGACCCACAGATAACTTTTTCGGATCTGGGTGTTTGTTCGTGTAAAACGTACTTACAGCACATGATAATGTTATCCTATGTGGCCAATGTTTTACAAAATGAAAAGAAAAAAAATCTGGCGAAAAAATTCTCTATAGAGGAAACCACCGTAAGGTTTTACGTTCACATTATTACAAATCGCTATAAATATTTCAAAATATACAATGAATAAATTAAAGAAAAACAGATAATAAAATAAACGTTAAAAGTTATCAAACAGATGGAATAAGCAGCAATAGCTAATTCATGCCAAAAATCGATTAAGATTATGGATGAGTGCCTGCCATCGATTGATATCAAATCTAATGGGAGGGGAGTATCGGTGTCGCGACAAATTCGATTCCGACTTCTCCACAAAGCGAAAGGTCACGAGCGTTGATTGCGGAGTTGTAAACAATATAGGCGGGGAAATACAACTTGAACATTAATTTGCGCACAAGCACACGACGTGTCACAATTAACGTGTAACGTTTAACATTTACGATTTTCGTTAATTACTACTGTTGAACGTTTCATCCCATTAAAAATAATATTGAAAATATTATATTAGATTGGAAAATACTCATTGATGTAACAAGCTCACGCATAATAGCTTTTGTAATAATGACGTTGTTAAATATTAATAGAGCCATTTTAATCTACATTTGAGCAGACATTGCAGATCGATGGGCTTTTGAAGCAAGTTGATGTCAAGCTTAGTGGCTAGGATCTTCAATTTCTTATAGAAATTTCGAAACAAAGTACAAATACGAAAATCCTAAAGTAAGATAATATCTTTTAAAATTAAACGTAAACCAAACAAAGTACAAAACGCAAATTAACAGACGCTGTTTAAATTTCGTTATAAATTAAATTAATAGCCAATAAATAATAATGTTGTAAGCTCTTCTGTAAAAACGTTCATTACTTAATGAAATAATGTAGCATTAAAATATAATAATAAGACTAAATAGATCCTAGATGGAGCCTACAATTTGTTGGGCCAATCACTCGCGTACTCTCTGTCTCTAACAATCTGGCCTTCGCTTATCAAAACAAAAAAAAACCGAGTCATAAAAACACAATAAACATACATGAAATCAGCAAGCATCCTTCTGCGGCACCGTGAAAGTCAATAAAAATTCACCAAATAGATTGCGCATAGGAAACCCGAAAATGTTTTAAGGTTATAAGAATTGTCGTGCAATTAATTAGCCTTAATTCACTCACCTACATCGTGGGTTTCATGCGTGCAGCACATACGTGGAATTTGGCTGTGGTATCACGAATTCACATGTTTCCAATATGGTATTTATTGGCGTTTGTATTTATTTTGACCGAGGCACGGTCGGCTGTTCTAGGGCGCCATGCGCGTTAGATCTGACGCATGCGCGCTGGTCTCCCGGAGATTCGCAGGTAACAAGTTTTGCTGGATATCCGATGTGGATTCCTGTATCGGCGTTCCAGGGCTGGGCTTTTGTGCCGATGCGAAATTTGTCGTCATTGTGTACATGACTTTTGCAAAATGTTTATTTGATTCACATAGTTTTGATGGGGTTGGCGTATCTTTGTAGATAAATCCCCATATAAATAAAAAGACCCCATATAAGAAAGTTAATTGAGTAAAATGAATTGTGTTTTATTATAGAAACCAACAAAGACAACCAATGAAGTGATGATTGAACGATACGTCATTTTATAGTACACGTATTATATATAGGTGTCGCCACCACCGTATGGTCTACGCCAAGGATGAGCAACGCGCGGCTCGCGGGCCGCTTACGGCCCCTTAAACATGTTTATGCGGCCCGCCAAGCATTTGTAAAATTGAATTAATTTTATCGAATTTCTCCCATCAATATATTGTTATATAATAAAATGGATTAAAATAAATTATAATAAAATGGATTAAAATTAATTATAATAAAATGGTAGTATATATTGAACCGAAATATTTTTTGTTCGTTTTTCTGTTCTTTTCTTGTTTGTTTTTAACTTGCATTAAAATTTGTATATGAAATCTTTACTTTTTTAAAGTTTATATTTTTTTTATTCTAATATTTATTATAAATAAAGTTACGTAAATTATTATGAGCGGCCCGCCAAAAAAATTTGAAATTTAAATTGGCCCATTGATTAAAAAGGTTGCTCACCCCTGGTCTACACCGTTTATTTTATAGCTATTTTGTGTTGCCAACCCTGAAGCAGAATCGGCGGAAGTGGCGGCTGCGCCACAACAAAACTATCTCCCGCCGGAAAAAGCTCCGTCGTTCAGAAAACTCGCTGGTGAAACGGCTTTTGTATTATTTTTTATTTTTATTGATTATTTACAAGATTCTGATTGACCATCTTTAAAGTATACATCTTTTGGCCCGTTTGGAAACAAATATGAGAGTAAAATTTTTACGGTGCGCGCGCACCATTTAATTAAATCATAATCTATTGCGATTAATATCTTTTTCACTAACAAAGTACTGGCACATGGTATTTGGTTTTTTATTGATTTATTGGAACATAAACAGACTATTTAACTAAGCGTATAACCAACACAAACATCCGCAAAATAATATCAAGTGAAGTAAGTCGGTTCCTAGACTAATTTGCATATTACGATTTAAGTAAATATTAATATAACCATTCTTTTAAATTGATTTTGTGAAAGTGAAAACAAATCAAAATTTACAAATTTAGAATTATATAGATATAGCACTCTACGAAGCGGTGCTCGCTGCCCAGCATTTGTTCTACACTTTTCAGTATATAGAATAATCGAGGCATACGTGCATCGCATCGATCGTCTCGTAACTCTTCTTGGTACAATATAAGAAATCCTGTTAGTAAGCTCCATACAGTCGAATATATTGTTACATAATGTATATAACATCATGGCCATATTAAGAGGGCGTCTGGAGTCCAAACTCAATAACTCATATTTTTCTGATATCTGTTCATAATAAAGCCTGGAATGAAAACATTTAAAGCATTGGATGCAGTGCATGGTGCATAAAAACTTGTTTTGTACGATTTCTAATACTGAAATGTATTTTCATACAAGGGATTCCATATTGGAACAGGAAATTAAGACTTGTGTACAGGACCACGTCTGGCGAGTCATTAAAAAAATAGTTTTTCCTAAGAAATTAATGTACATTACATTAAATAAACTCACTGTGGTGATTCGACGCAGCAGTTGCGTCATTACGCCAACGTCGAGGTACTTTATATGAGTTGTGACGCGACATTTTTTTAGACTATTTCTTGATTAGATAACAATATGTATACAAATATGTCTAAAAATTGTTTCTTTTTATTTTTTGGAAAAACATTGCCCACCTACTGTAGTATAACATTATCCTGTGTTGTATTGTAACACAAATTTCACGTGGACAAACACCCAGATGCGAAACAATTATCTGTGGGTCACACAAATGGTTGTCCCGTATGGGAATCGAATCCACGACAAAACTAAACTTACTTACTTACAAACTTACTTACTTACTTACTAAACTAAAATTATAAATTAAATTGATAAAACGAAAACGAAATATTAAATGAAATGCAACTTAAAGATTTATTTTAAACTTTGTACGTTATTTTTTATTTTTTTTATGTGAAAAGTTGCCAAACGAGCAGACGGTTCACCTGATAGAAAGTAAATACCGCCGCCCATGGGACATCTGCTACACCCGAGGGTCACAGATGCGTTGACAACCTTTTGAAAATTGGGCTGCGGCTACCTCAGTCACCAGACGAAACGCGAAAGTATTTGACATACTTCCACTTTACGCTGGTCTTCTGTGAGGTCGTGGTACTTACCCGGACGAGCCTGCCCATTGCAACAGCAGAGGCTGCTGCGTGGCCCTACTACCGTAATGACGTACGTGAAATTAAAATGAAAATTGCACGTTATAGTTATAAATAATGATAATAGTCTTATGACAAGGAAGAGCGCCAGAGATACCCCTAACAGTTGATGTCAAATGCAGCTCAAATACTTAACAACTGCAATATCAAAGTTGAGAAAAAAGAACGCCTAAAATATGTTACTGCACAATAAATGCTATATTTGTACATTAAAACATGTAGAAAAAGTACGAAAAGATTGTCGCCGCTGTGGGAATCGAACCCACGTCTTCGGCATTCGCGGCTTGACGCTCTAGCCATTGAGCTAAACGGCTGATAGCCACAGCGACGAAAATCTTAACGCCTTCCTTTTACATTGTTATTTAGCGTTTGAAGCAATGCTTGGCGCATCTATTGTTATATCCTTTCCAACATACAAACAATTTCGAATATCGTTTTACAACGATAATTCGAACGAGAGATGTCGCCATTGCTTTTTATAAATTTTTAAAGATTTTTATAGTGCTAATCTCTGCACTTAAGTGCAGAGATTAGCACTATAAAAAACTTTAAAAATGCTATGTTTGTAACTTACGCATTCCAGTTTTTACGGGTTTTTTCCACAATTTTACGGGCGCAATGGCGTAGCGAAGTATTAACTTATAATTAATCTCCATCTAGTCTGCCATATATATTCATAGGCTATTTTCAGACTTGGTTTTATCATTTTTTTCTACTAGAAATAGGTTTTACTCAAGGTGTTCCAATATACATTGTTAACACTTACCAATTCTCAGACCTAATGTAAATTCACACATTTATTTTGTTACATGATATGTTAGGTTCATAAGCGACGCATTTTTATGTAATTTCCTTTTCATATATACGTTACTTGTATTATATATTTTACCTCCGTTTTAAAAGATTTTAACCTTTTATTATGGATGTAAATTATTACTTTTATATAATTTGTCAGTTTTTTTATTAATCTTACATTTACAACATTTTACTTATTTTTTATTTTAAAACAATCACGCGGGATTTTATTGAAATTTAATATATATGTAAAGATGGAGAAAGCTGATTGCGTTGTGATATAAACTAATGAACCCAATCTAACTGATAAACCGGCAAAAAAATCCACAAAGTGTTGAGCCAACGTTCAGTTAATATACTTAGCCCTAACAATTATATTAGTTTATATAAGTTAATATATACTATTTTATTTGTATATACTATTTGTCTTCGGCAGAAGCGTCTATGTGAACAAGTATATTTTTGATTTTGATTTTACTAGCGACCCGCCCCGTATTAAAAACATAAAGCTTCCTCTTGAATCATTCTATCTAGTACAAAAAACCGCATCAAGATCCGTTGCGTAGTTTTAAAGACCTAAGCATATATACGGAGAGGCAGACGGGGAGAGGCAGGAAGACGTTTGTTTTATACTAAGTAGTGATAACGTCCTAAAACTATTAGCGTGTGAGAGAGGAAACCTTATTTCACAATACCACAATTCTCATTTAATGTACAGTGCGAATAACATCTAGACACTATTCCTCGTGGGAAATTATCTACCTATTGATATTCTAAGCCTTCAAAGGAGTACTTTAATACCGAGTGTCTTTGAAGATTAATTTAAAGGGAAACGTCTACAACTCTACATTAATATTTACTGAATTTCTGTGAGAATTCATAGCTGAAAAGAAGCAATTATGTTCTAATTCCTATTTCAATTTTTAATAACGGAGCATTTTATGAATGGTTGTCCCGCCATATTCACGTACCTAAAAAAATTTACTCTAGACATATGGTCACGTCACGTTGAATAAATTATGAATTCAGTCTACAAACTAATATGTACACTTTGACTTTTTCAATTACGGACAATACGCGAGAAAATGGAATGAGCGTTGGCCGCCACATGTTCTGATTTCCCAAACCCATTGGTTTTGGCTAGCCCACCTGTTCTGCGTCAGATGAAGCTTTAATAGTCTCGGGCCTAAAAGGAAAAACATCAGTTAATACAAGATACAAGATGTTCTGATTTGATAATTTAGCGAAAACCGTAAGGCGTCTTTGTGCAATCCCTCCTGTTGATGTTTCTAAACTTGACAGCTCTGTGTATCAAAGGAAGTTTTTCAGCCTTAGGACTGATTAATCACATATTTCGAATTCTTAGACACTCGTATAGTTACAGCAATAAAACAAGCATATTGGAGAAAGTGAGCGATGGAGTTTTACCTCATTCCTGTGATGCGATTCGCTTCGCGAAGAGGATCTTAATCTATTTGATATTTTGTTCATTTTAGTATACATAGTATATGTGTGAAACTGTATTAATTGAACAGGTCACTACTAGAGCTTTAGTCACTACCAAATTTACAAATTTTTAAATAATTTAATGTTAAAAAAATT